TATATGGATATAAATTATCTGCATGTTTCTGGCATTGCAGGAGTATAGGTCGATGGTATTGGGTTCATCTGAGCACATTTCCAATGGGGTATGATTATGCATTACTTTCATTGATTTTATCTGCAATGTTTCTATTTATGGAAGGTTGTTTATGTATAGAAATAAATTTCCATTTCAATTGGGATGCACCATGTCCAAAGGAAAATGTTATGGTTATAATGTTACATGACATTGGAAGTTTACAATATGATATGTTGTTATATAATTGATTGTTTTCATTTAGGGGTCCACTTGTGAATTTTTATGTATTCACTTATTTAATATTAGTCATATTCATTAAATGTGTAAACTTACTTGCCATTGTAACCTTAGCATTGCCAATGTCCAAATGCTTTAATTATGATGATTTGATCAGACATCTTTTCATCCAACACACCCTTTGATCAACCACACATATCTTGATCAAGCACGAGATCACGTCCCATTACAAACACAATTGTTAATTGTTATTTGTGCCTTAACCAAAGGTGTGTTTCAAGTATTTTCAAAACTAAGTTTGTTTGTTCTACGCCACATTTGTGTCTTTTAAACTCAAAGCTTTTATCATTGCAGTCAACACTCAACTACGTCTTAGGCTTTCTGCATTTCATCTCTCTCTTAATTCTGTTTCTTTGCGTTACAGAAGAAATGGATGACAGATTCGGAGTACCCTCTGGACTTTTTTGATCTGGCATCGATAATTTAATTCTTATGTGATGCACAACTTTCATTGTTTTTTCCTTTTTGGTGAGGCAAACAGTGTGCTTAAAAGCAAGGCATTTACACCTGACAAAAACTAATTACTCAGGTTAGCGGAATGTCAAAGCAAGAAATTCTGGCTGAGTTTAAGAAGACAAGGGAGCACTTAGAAGAATTGAGAAGGGAGAATGAAGAATTGAGAAGGGAGAAGGAGGAGCTCAATTCTAGGGTTACTGATATAGAGACAATGATAAGGTAACATTTCTCTCTTTGGTCTCTATATATTCATCTTTTCTCTTTTTTTATTTATGGAAGGTATAGAGAAGTGTGTTCTTTCTCTAGATCTCTACATTTATATGGACCAATTGTGATGTATTATTTTTTATCATTGATCTCTCAGAGCAATGACACCAAAGAAGTGATAGAATCTGCAGGGGATGATGACCTTGGAGCCAGCGTGGCTGGTTTCACGCAGGAACCGACGCGATGGGGCAAAACATATTAATGAGTCCAGCTTACCGACTTTTACAGTAAAAGTTTTGCTAGTGCAGCAGTGGAACTTTTAATTTTCCTAATCACGTAGTTTAACTCATCATTTTTACCATTTTTACCAAGCAAGGAGTTATTGGGTGTCTATCAAGGAGTTATTTACGGATTCCCTCAGTAGCCTCATCAGTTTGATTTATGTTTTAAATTTTTACAAACATATTTAAACTTTATTATTTTCT